TCTACTGCACTTTAGCGGAACTCCAGGTGGAGGAGGCAGAGGAGAGGAGGGGGAGATGATGGGTTTGGGGTCAGACTAGCCTGCATTATAATCCTTGGCCTGGCGCTTATTAGCTGTGGATCTCAAGCAAGTTACTGAACCTCTCTGATCCTAAATTCCTTAATATGTAAAATGGAAATAATAAAACCCATCTCACAGGGGTTAAGAAAGATAGCGCTTGAAATGCACCTAGCATGGTATATGACACTCAGTAGGCAAACTAGAAATATCTAATGAATGAGAGAATGAAGAAAAGTATACTAGTTTGCTTTCTTTCATGAGCATGGCCAGGGGCAGATGAAATATTTAAACATGTGTTAGAGACTTTTGGCCTTGTCAGTTACACAAATGATTGGAAAGTTATCCCAGCAGAGGCTTAAATCATTTGCACCAGGTACAAAGGTTACTGGATCTAGTTAAGTTGTTTCCCTCCTTTGCACCTCAGTTATCCTTCCCGTAAAATGGACCAAACTATATAGTTAAGCACTGACTGGGGACAGAATGAGTAGAATCCAAAGAGCTGACTGGCTCTTGACAATGACCCATCTAACCCTTTACTGACCAGGCTAAAGAGGTAGTTAGAAGGGCCCCAAAAATGGGTTAAAGAAGGAGCGGTTCGGAGACCAAACATTACTAAATATCTTTTCCTTTTATGGGTCGGTGCTCTAGATCACCACTTCCTGCAGATTATATTCCTAACTTTGTTGTGATGGATGCAAGGTCCATGTGCCCACAAGCGCCAGCAGAACCCAGATGTCACGCTGGGGGAAGGACTCTGCTGTTACCTTGCTATTTTAAGCAGGGAGTTTATATAATGGATGGGAGAGCAAGCAAATGGGGCAGGAGCAGCGTGGGAATGGCCTGGGAAGGCAGGCTGCTGGGGCTCCCCCTGAGGAGCTCAGGGTTCTGTCTTGTAAATTGTGGGACCACAGACAGCCTCCACTCTGCTTTGTCCTGCAGCAGCTGACAGCTCTTAGTGCTTGTCTCACTTAATTCATTTCTGTTTGGCTTTGCTTTCTTTTTTCTTTTATTATGTTATGTTAGTCACCATACAGTACATCATTAGTTTTTGATGTAGTGTTCCATGATGCATTATTTGCGTATAACACCCAGTGCTCATTACACCACATGCCCTCCTTAATGCTTGGTGATAGGTATTTGCTTTGCTTTCTGACCGAGGGACTGACTGAGGAGCAGGAGGTGGAGGAAAGAAAGTGGAGGGTCAGAAAATGACAAATTTTTTATGTGACTTTGGGATACCATGATCCCAGAATCCTATGAGATGGGACCATTATATTTGTGGTTTGTTGTGACTAAGAAGAGTCCAGGATTTTAGCAACTCCTAGGGTTAAAAATGGTCCCTGGAGTGGGTTAGGAATCCTGTGACCATTGCCCCAGCCTTTGCTGGAACTCTCCCAGGAAGGGGGAGTTTGTTACCCTAAAGAGTAGCCTGTTTCATCTCAAATAGTCCTAACCACTAGAAAGGATTCCCTGCCTTGATCTGACCTTTCATTCATTGGTCATGCACTTATCCTTTGGGGACAATTGAATTAGAGGAATGACTTTCAAATATCTGAGAAGCAATTTTATTTTTCCCTGCTCCATCTCTTCCAGGCTGAAGATCTTTAGTTCTTTAAAAACAAATTCTTGCTTCCTGCATATTGCTTCCCCTTTTTGGAACATGCTGCAATTTGTCTGAATCCTTCTTACCACTCAGAGGGCAATATACTTTGTGTAGATTAAGGCAGAAAGGAAAGTAAAACTGTCACCTCCCATATTTTGGGAACCATATTACTATTAAGACAGGTTGGACCTGCACATGCATCCATCATCACTGAAGAGGTTTCAAGGGAAGTGCACCAATTTTCCCGGTAGAATTGGGGTTTGTGGATACTCTTTTGCTACTGTCAACCCCTGTGACCATATACTTTGTCCAGCACCACTGATGGCATTGCTGTTGAAATCCAAGTAACGGTGATAGAAATTAATCACAGAGTCAACCTTTGGGTCAATGTGATGCTCATTTTATCCATACAGTTGGGACGAGAGACCTGGTATGCCTTGGCCCTATAACTCTCATTCCCAACAGACAGGTTAAATCTGTGCAGTAGGGCTTCTCCCTTCCTGTCTCACCGTTCCCTCTAGCTCTTCCGTTCAGAGAAATTCCACTCAGCATTTCAGTATTCATGGCTCACCTCAAACACCATTTCTAACATGGACCTAGTCTAAAACTGTATCTCACCTGTCCCAATTTCCATAGTTGGGGATCCTTTTCTGGGATTCTGTCACTTCTCACTTTCGAAGTCTTAACAGTTACACTGTCTTCATACTGCCTCCCACCACTGGACTCTGTGCTCCTTGAGGGCCAAGACCACATCTTCATCATCTTTAAGTCACCAGCACCTAGCACGTGTAAAGTGAGTGTGGTGAATTAATGAATGATTCAGTTCATGAATTTCCTACTTGAGATAAGACTTCTTGAGTTGACCAGCAGAGGTCACCCCAATTGTTTGAGAGCTGAATGGGGCTACCTTTCCACTGCAGAGATTGACAAAAATCAAGATGGTGGTCGCATTGACCAACCCCATGGCTAAAGTTCTCCAGTTCTTTAAATATAAATTAACAAGCATTTTTTGATGAATCTTCTAGTTATCTATGATGAATCAGACCCCTTGCCTTCCTCGGGGAGCTCAGTCAAAGGTGTGTGTGTTGGGTGGGGGCATCTGTCAGAGTTGTGGCTGATGTCAGATCTGAGCCTGCCCACGGCCCTCTGGCTCCAAGGCCCTCAGGCCTTTCCTGTGGGACCAGAAGAATATCTAGTATCATGAGAGGTGGTGGGGCTTTCTGGCTTCCTCCTACAGCCTCCTGCAGTCAGCACCTTACATAGGACCTAGGACATAGCAGGTACTCAGTAAATGACAGTGTTCTTTGTTTCTCCTGTGTGTGTCCCAGTAGCCCCCTGGCTGTGGCTGAGGGCAGGGTCTGCATCTGGTGGTTTTCATCTGCTGACTAGCAGAGCAGCAACTTCAGGGAATCTCTGAAGTTATAGGATCAGGCTGGTTCTCCCACCCCATTAGGGGAAGGGGACCTGGAGGAGTTTAGTGGGCAAAGAGGCTAGGTAGAGGCCTTTGGACTCTGGCCAAGCTTCCTGGGCTGTAGACCTCCATGCAGATGGCCTCTGTGAGCACCTACTCTGTGCTTGGCGCTCTATATCATTTCATCCTTAGAACATTCCTGCATGGGAGGCATTCTTATCTCTGTTGCCCTGACAAGGGAAGTGAGGCTCAGAGGTAAAGCCAACATTCAAGGCCACGTAGCCAGTGAATGGCAGAGTGGGGACTCAAATCCAAGTATAAGGTTCCAAGACCTGTGTTCTTTCTACCTTGCTATCTTGCCTCTCCAGATTGAAACCTCACTTTTCAAAGAGGACACAGAGGAGCCAGGCCCATTGGTTCAGGTCTGTTGGAGAGATCATGGTCCTAGGCCTCTTGATCGGTGAGAAACATGAAAGAATAGGGGCACCTGGGTGGCTCAGCCGTTAAGCGTCTGCCTTCGGCTCAGGTCATGATCCCAGGGTCCTGGGATCGAGCCCCACATCGGGCTCCCTGCTCAGCGGGAGGCCTGCTTCTCCCTCTCCCACTCCCCCTGCTTGTGCTCCCTCTCTCACTGTGTCTCTCTCTGTCAAATAAATAAATAAAATCTTCAAAAAAAAAAAAAAGAAACGTGAAAGAATAGTTACTAGTTACAAGTAACAATAGTTAGTAGTTACAAGTTAATATAAGTACTTACCAATTAGTAGTTATAAGTAAACCCAACCCAAACTGACTTAAACACTAAGAAATTTAAGTGTTTGTATAACTGGCTAGTCCAGAAAGAATTCAGGCTTCAGGTGAACTTTGATCAGGGATACATCTTCTTTCTGCGGGTGTCTTAGCTCTACTCCCCACCCCCCTTTATGTGTGTCAGTTTTATCCTCAGTCTGCACTTCCAAACAGAAACAAAATGGCATCAGTAACATTAGGTTCTACATCTGCACATTCTACCACCCAGAGCAAGATGAAGCACCTGGGTGCCAGAACACTACAGTGTGCTCATTGGTTTACACTGGACCTATTTTCTATCCCTGAGCCAATCACTGTGGTGAGATAAGTGAGATTATGATGACTGGGTCAATCCCAGCTGGGCCTCAACGCTGCTATACCATGAGACAGGATGAGCCTGGCTTCTGGGGAAGCAATGAAAGGATACTCAGGGTGGGCACTGCAGAAGGTACACAAGATCCACCTTGGCTGAGCCTCCAGAATCACAGGCCCAGTAAGGGTTGTCCTCAAGTGAGAGAGCCCCATACTGAGGGTCAGAAAAGCTGTTGAAGGACATGAGGTCAGCCATGGGGTAGAAAGTCAAGAAACATCCTCCTCTTCCTCAGCCCAGGCAAGGAAGGCTATGTGGTAGAGTGAAAAGAGCCCTGGCCTCAAAATCAGGAAGATCTGGATTCAAATGCTTGATTCTTTGTATGATTTTGGCAAATGGCCACCACCCTTGGAAGCCATTCTCTCTTCTATAAAATGAGTATTAGTGCCTGCATCAGAGGTCATCATGAGGATTAAATTAGGTGATGTTGGAAATGCTCTTAGGATAGTGCCTGGCATGTAGTAGGCGCTTAATAAATGATACACAAGTACAAATCTGATCCCAATGGACTGTCCTCCATTAGCTATGGCTTTGAGGAGTTTGAAGCACTTTTCTCCCTTCTGGGATAGCTGTGTTTACTGTAAGGACCAAATTAGATGGAAAATCTCTAAGGTCATCTCTGACTTTGTAAACAGAGCAAATGAACAGGAGGAAATGCAATTCCAAATACCCTCTCCTAGCCTAGTCCAACCTCTGGTGTTGATACAAACTCAAGCAGGCTTTTTCTGTGGCTCATGGCTCCTGGAAATGGAACCCAGCCTGGGTCAGGGATGGGAGTGGATTTGACTTGTCCTTTTGGCGTCTCCTCAGCCTGCGGAGCCCAGGCCTCTTGGAGCATCTTTGGGGCTGACGCCGCGGAGGTTCCGGGCACACGCGGCCACTCCCGCCAGGAGGCTGCCATGCCCCACATTCCCGAGGACGAGGAGCCCCCTGGAGAGCCACAGGCAGCCCAGAGCCCCACCGGCCAAGTAAGTGCCCCCTCCTTGCCTGCAGTTAGTCTGGCCGGGGCCAAGCCAAGTGCCCTGGGCTGGCGCCACATCACTCAGCCTGGCTAGAGGGTTTGCTGACAGCCAGTTCAGGCTGCAGTGCGCACTGGGAGAAGGTGTGTGGCTGCCACACTGAGGAATAAATACCCAGAGTCCATTTGAATTGGCCAAGCCCCCCCATATATCCTGAGAGCGGAACCTCCTATGCTGTGTCTGACTGAAGTCTCCTGAGAGGTCCAACCACCGTAACCCTGTAGGCACCTTCCTAGAATGGAGAAAGACTTGGAGGAGAACTGTCAGCACAGAGGGCCTTGTCATGTCAGGGTTGTGGTAACCAGCAAAAGGCCATTTAAACTGAGCCAACTTAAAATGAAGATCAAAATTTTGTAGTAAATAGTGGAAAAGATTTTCAGCAAAATTGTATTATAAAAAAGAAATGATGAAAAGAATTAATTTAAAGGGTCTCATTGAGATTGTATTGTACAAATGAAATTATGAAAACAAATTATTTTAGCTAGACATATAACAAAAAATTGATTATACGCTACTTTTTTAGAAGGAACAAAGAATTAATTGTGTTGATTTTGGCATTGGTATATTTATTCTTTATACCGACATGATGATCTGTTCATATGAACCACATCCCTCACATTTTACTTTACAGCACCCCTGTTAAGAGATTGTGTGTTTAATATTTAAGGGCTTCATTCATTTTCCCAAGGACCTCTATGGATCTTTCAATATGCAAATCATTTTCTTTTTTGGCCAATACAAATTATCCTTGTAATTTTTTCTTTGTTAGCTGCCCAGCTCCATATGCTCTTCACTGGTCCAAGACCGTGCATGTGAAGTTTTCCAACACTGTTTCCTTTGATTTCATGAACTTTGCACTTGGTTTGCACTTGTACCACCCCATTATATCTGACAGATGTCTGAACTGACCTCAGCCCAAAGGGACAGACACTTGTTAAGTGAGGGAAGAATGTATGAGTGAGCATTAATTTGGTAAGCGGGTAGACTCTCAGTGAACATTTTCATGTTAGGATGACATTTGTTTTCTTGCACGTCATAACTGTGGGAACTCAGATAGTAAATACTTAGAAAAGAGTGGCTTCTTGTATCTCCCTATCCCAAACTCGTGGGACTGAGATGTTGCAGAACTTGGCACACTTGGGGAGCCCTTGAATTTCTAAGTGGGAGTGAGCCAAACCCCTATGCATTTGGCCACAGGCAGCCAGCTCAGTGTTTTATTGAACCTCTCTTCCAGGAATGTCATGAGCCTGGTGGGTGCTACTTGTCAGTTGCTCTTTGTGGCTCTAGATTGCTCCTCTGCTCTTCTGTGGGTGATGTCTGGTCTTCCCCAAACTGGGTGCTCTGCTGCTGCCCCCTTTCTACTGCTGCTTCTAACCAAGTGTGGACAATGCCCTTAAAACACTGGTAATATTGGGTTAGAAGTTTTAGCCAACAAAAAATTTGTTAAATTGGTTAATCCACTGAAAGTTTGAAGATTAAAGAAGGGAATGACAGCATAAAGCAAAACATCCACATCTGGATTCAAATGTGACTGCTCCCCCTCCTCAGTCATGACTTTCCCAAGTTCTGTCCCCTTAGCATCCTTACTCCCTAGCCGGGGGTTCCTTCTTACCGCAGCCCTTCCTGACCCCTTCCACCTCACTAATGACAAAAGCGTGCTTAAGTCAGATTCTGATGCAAAATCTGGCTCCTGAAATCCTAGTCAGCTCCCCCAAACAGCTGTCATGCCATGCTCCCCAAGAATACAAGTGTTCCTAAAAAAAATAAAAATAAAAGATTGGCAACGCTACAACTCTATCGTTAGTGAAGAGATCATTTTACACTGAGTTTAGTTTACCTTTAGTTCATCATCTCATCTCTCTAAATAAAAGAATTTGAAGGCTTCTCAGGAGACTAAGACAAGATAGCACAAAAGCCGGCTGGCCCTTCTTACCATCACGACTTCAAACCACACCTAGGTGTAGCTCCACTGGGTCAGAGGTGAGCGTGAGTTTCCAGGCACAGCCAAGCCAGGGGAGGGAATCCATAAGCTAACCACAGACTTGAGGGTCAGAGAGCCCTAGCTGAACAGCAGGAGCTCCAGATTCCAGCTTTCCACGAGGTCACTCTCCTGGTGACCTTGAACCAGACCAGACTTCTGTAACATGAGGGGGTGGGCCCCCATGGCCTCTGAAGGTCCTTCAAATGCCATGCTTCTATCTCTGTGCTTGTGGGAAGTCAAGACAATAAAGGGAATGTTTGTGGTACCGATAGCCTCTGCATTGCTGGAGCCCAGTAGGAGAAGGACCCATGAGGACTTCAGGTGAGCTGATGCCCTTAAGGGAGGACCATAAGCACAGGATTTAAGAAGGTGGACTCTGGAATCAGACCAAGCTGGGCTCCTCCACATCCTGGTCAAAAGACCTCCTGTGAGCCTGTTAACTTTCTGTGCCTCTGTTTCCTCATCTCTTCCTCAGGGCAAGTGTTAGTGGCTGCCTCCTAGACTCTGGTCAGCCCAGCCCTCTAGTACCTTTTTTGGCTTGAGGGACCATGGGGCTGGGGCAGGTTAGACCCTAGACTGAAGACGACATCAGATTCAGTATCCTTTTACTCTCTGCCCTTACTGACAGGCACTAGGCCTCCTTGAGTTTTCCAGAAGCCCACGGGCATTGTCAGTGAAGAGCACCTCCCCCTTTGCACCCATCAGACAACCGACATTGGGCTTGTCAGGCAGCCACAGCCTCAGGGGAGGGTCAGGCCTTGTGAACAGGGCTGGAGCCTCCAGGGGCTGGAGCCCAAGTCCCTGGGAGCAGCGGAAACCAGGCAGCCAGGAAAGCAGGATTGGTTAGGAGGATTTGGCTGAAATTCCCAGTACCGTGTGAACTCCCTCTCTGTGAGGCAGGCAAAGAACCAGAGCATCCTTCTGAGTTTACAGCTCCCCCGGGTCCAGCCCTACTTCTAGTTCCTCAAGCCCCAGCCCCCATTTCCCATTGCTAACATGAACACTAGCTGAGACCTTCTTACACAAAAACACAAACGCTGTAGACCTAGATCCTGTTTTCCTTTCTGCATGCATGCGTGTGCACACCCCCCCCACACACACACCCTTGAGGTCCCTAATCAGAAGCTGTAATCAAGACCCACAAAGAAATAAAGCTTCCAGACAATGCACTCTGTGAAGTTGTGTCCTGAGTGTGTTTTCTGGGTTGGCCCTAGAACAGGGAGGGGCTCAAAGGAATGAGCTTGTAGCCAAGAGGTCTGGCAGGAATAAAAGCTATCAGGACACAAGCCTGGGACCTTAAGGGACCACAGAATGACAGACCATCAGAGTTAAGAGCTAGAAGGGATACTAGATCTCATCTAAGACCCTTCCCTCTCAGGCAGGCAAAGTTCTGCATAATGTGAGCCCCCAAACAGTTATCTGGAAGCTTGTTAAACCTGGATTCCTCCGCCAACCCAGGCCTATTGAATCAGAGTCTTCTGGGGTGGGTCTTGGGAGTTTATAGGAGTAGCTCCATACAGGGGAACTGCCCACCTCACAAGGAAGTCTGTGCTGTGGTTGGCCAGCTCGGCTTGCTGGTCAAGCTGGAACTGCCTCCCTGTGACTCCCCCTCACTTCTGCCCTTCACAACTGCCTATAGTGGGGTGAAAACCTAGAGATGCAGGAAGGCAGTTTACACATCTTCCCAGAGTCCCCTTTCCTCTGTTCCTCCAGGCTTTGCTCCCAAATCTCTCCTCTGGGCACATACCCACCTATCTCCCCATAATCATGGGGCACCAGACCTGGCCCCGAGCCCCAGAGGCAGCGAGGCCAGGATATCAACTATTTCCTGGCCTGTGATCAGCAGCCATATCAGAAAGCTGATTTGTTAGAACAGCATGGCTTCCTGATAAGTGCTTTGCAAACCTGAGTGTGCAAAGAGGTCCAGGTCAGCTCTAACAGCCGGCTCTAGTTTCCACCCAGACAATCCCCATCCTCTTTCAGGGGTTTCTGGAAGCTCCCAGGTGTAGGTCAATGTGAACTCATGAGTAGACCTCCATCTTTCACATCATCTGTTCCAGTAGCCCCCCTTCCACCGCCCCCTGACTAACCCCCACCCCCAACTCCATTGTCCACAACACTTAATAATAATGCCAGGCATTATTCTACTGTATGAACTTATTTAACTTTCAGTCAACCTTATGAGGTAAGTATCATTATCCTCATTTCATAGCTGAGGAAGCTGAAGCACAGAGAAGTTAAGCAGCTTCCTCCAAGATCATATAGCTCATAAGCAGCAGGCCCAGGATTTGAACCCAGGCAGCCTGGCCTCAGAGCCCATACTCTTAGTCTCTACCCTGCACTAAGTACTGTTTGTCTCTGGAGCCCTCTATGAGAATCCTTGGTGCCTGAGCCAGGGGTATGCTGTCCTGTGCTTCCAAAGTCCTTGTCTGAGATGGCCACCCTGGGCCCCTACAAATACACTGCCATGCACACTCCAAAGCACTGCAGGGTCTTACTTCTGCTTGCCATCCTCTCAGATGCCTAAGCCCATGGGGCCAGAAAATACAGTTCCGTGTCACACATCCTGCTGAGACACTGTACTGCCTATGCCTTTTTCATTCTTTTTCAGCCATCAGACAATAAAACAGCCCAATTCGATGCACACTGACTCCTAGAAACACAGATCACTATGAAATTCCTGGTTCAGGCCACACACGAGTTACTCTCTCTGTTCATCTCCCTATGTGCCTACTTTGTACTGCACTTTCTGATGCTCTAAACAACTTGATGCCTAACCGTGTTATACAGCAGCATCTTGTTGACTTAAGATTACCGCAGCACTCAACAAACCAGTGGCATCCCTGCTCCCATCCCTCTCCCTACCTCCAATTTTTAATTAACTGAAAATTAGGTTGGAATGTGCTCTGGAGAATCAGCCCTCTGTGTGTGGCCCTAACAGCAAGGGATCCGCTGTGGAGCTCCTAGA